GGTGTTCGAGCTGCTGGAGGTGCTCGTACTGGAGGTACTGGCGCTGCTGGAGGTCCTGCTGGTGTTGGAGCTGCTGGAGGTGCTGGAGCCGCTGGTCCCGGAGGTGCTCGTACTGGAGGTACTGGAGCTGCTGGGGCTGGTGGTGCTGCAGGAGTTGGAGCGGGAGGTGCTGGAGCTGTTGCTGCTGGAGGTGCTGCTGGAGCTGGAGCTGCTGGAGGTGCTGGAGCTGGTGGTGCTGCGGGAGTTGTAGCTGGAGACCCTGGAGCTGAGGGTACTGGTGCTGTCTCTGCTGTTTCTGGAGGCGCTGCGCGGCCGCGACCGTACTACGTTCCGCTCCTTCAGCAGGTTCTTGGCCTCCCGCCTTCTACTGGTCCTACTCCTCCCTTACTGAGTCCACCGCCTGTCCAGTCGCAGTCGCAGTTACAGCCAGCCTCTCCACTGCCTGGTCCTTCTCCCTACTCTGGGCCGACTAGAGGTCTTACGGAGCGTCGTGAGCCTGAGTCTCGTCCTGCGTCGCTTGAGTCTCGTCCTGAGTCGCCTGTTCGCGCTGTCCGCACTGGTCGTCGTGTTCCGCGTCAGCGTCCTCCTCCTGTCCCCGGCACCCACTATATGACACTTCGTCCTTCCACTGCTCCACAGCGTGTCCCTCTGCCGTCTCCTCCTGCGTCCTCTCTTCCTGACGGTCCGGACCCGGAGTCTGACTCCCTTCGAGCTGCTAATTCTACTGTCACGCGTTTTCTGGCCACTGTTCTCACTGACCCTTCGTTTGAGTCCACTGCTGCGTCTGCTCTAGTTGCTGAGCTTGTTGACTTTCCTGCCGCCTGTCGTCTAGACTACGCCGCTAGTCTTGTTGCTGAGTCTGAGTCTGAGTCTGTCTGTCCTCCGTCCGTCGGGGGTGAGTGTGCTCTTGGCACGGACGTCCTTGAGGACAGACAGGAGGAGTTTGAGTGCTTTCCCGCTGCTTTACCTCATCTCGTGTCCATGCTGCTTGCCCCTGAGGGAGACCCGGATGCACCAGACATCCCGACCCCGCGCTCTTACGCAGAGGCGATAGAGGGTCCCTACTCCTCTTAGTGGCAGACAGCCATGGACACAGAGATGGCTTCCTGAAAGTCCACAGGCACCTACGTCGACGAGGTTCCCCCGCCTGGGGCGAACATCGTCAGTGGCATGTGGATTTTCAGGGTGAAGCGGCCGCCGGGTTCTCCGCCTGTCTTCAAGGCGCGTTACGTTGCACGAGGCTTCAGTCAGCGAGAGGGAGTTGACTTCTTCCAGACCTTCTCCCCTACCCCGAAGATGACCACTCTTCGGGTTCTGCTGCACGTCGCCGCTGAGCGTGACTACGAGCTTCACTCTCTTGACTTCAGCACAGCTTTCCTACAGGGCAGCCTGCACGAGGAGATCTGGCTGCGCCGCCCACCTGGCTTCACTGGGTCGTTTCCTGCTGGTACCCAGTGGAGCCTCCGGCGGCCAGTCTACGGTCTCCGCCAGGCACCCCGTGAGTGGCACGACACACTGAGGACGACTCTTGCTGCTCTTGGGTTTGCTCCTTATACTGCTGACCCGTCGCTGTTTCTACGCACCGACACCTCTCTGCCACCGTTCTACGTTCTCGTGTACGTAGACGACTTGGTCTTTGCTACTGCTGACACTGAGGGACTCGCCCACGTGAAGTCGGAGCTGCAGAAGAGACACACGTGCACAGACCTGGGTGAGCTGACAAGCTATCTTGGCTTGCGGATCACCCGGGACAGAGCACGCCGCACCATCACACTGACTCAGTCACACATGGTGCAGCAGGTCCTTCAGCGCTTCCGCTTCACGTACTCCTCGCCACAGTCCACTCCTCTGCCTACCGGTCACTCGCTCTCAGCTCCACCTTCGGACGAGTCCGTAGAGCCGAGTGGCCCGTATCCAGAGCTTGTGGGCTGCCTCATGTACCTGATGACCTGCACTCGACCTGACCTTGCCTACCCTCTTAGCATTCTAGCACGCTATTTCGCTCCTGGCAGACACAGGAAGGAGCACATGGATGCAGCTAAGAGGGTGTTGCGCTACTTGTGCAGTACGTCAGGCATGGGGCTCGTGCTTGGAGGACGTGCTCGAGTTGTCCTCACTGGTCACGCAGACGCTTCCTGGGCTGACGACTTGGCTACGCAGCGGTCGTCACAGGGTTACACCTTCAGTCTTGGCTCCGGCTCTGTTTCTTAGCGGTCTACCCGCTCGTCTTCTGTTCTCAGCTCCAGTTGTGAGGCTGAGATCTACGCAGGGGCCATGGCTGCACAGGAGTTACGCTGGCTCACCTACCTGCTGACCGACCTGGGAGAGCCGCCTCGTTCTCCTCCAGTACTGTACGTCGACAACAAGGCCATGATTGCCTTGTGTCAGGAGCACAGACTGGAGCACAGAACGAAGCACATCGCTCTGCGCTACTTCCTTGCTCGAGAGTTGCAGCAGCGTGGTCAGCTTCATCTCGCTTACGTAGCCACTCGGGCCAACACTGCTGATGCCTTCACCAAGGCGCTTCAGCCTTGTGATCATCAGCGTTTCTGTACTGTTCTAGGCCTTGTGCCTACTTGGTCTCACTTGCTTACTTCTTGACTCTGCTTGTACTGTGATCTCTACACATATACCTGCATGCTTACACTTGCTAGGTTGTGATCACTGTATTGCTTGTTCTCCTTTATATAACTCTTCATGTGAACTGGCCTTGTGGCCATTTACTTGTGCTCAGAATGCGTGGTGACGTCGTGATCCACCCTGAGCTTGATTTGCCTTTCTTGACCGGTCTTGTGACCTCTTGTTCTCCCCCACTTTGCCTATGGGGGTGTGTCAAACATATATGACATAGTCTGTGTAGGCTGTAGTGGGGTAGTCAATATAGGGTACAACACTTCTAGGTTTCCTACTTGTACCCACCTGCTTGCTAGTTCAATCATTCTTTCCTTCACTATTCTGACAGGTCCTGCTCGAAGGGATTCAGTCGACACCCTCTACGGAAGTCGCTGGTTGACGACAGTGGTCGTCGACGAGTCCGTCGAGAGGCTATGCGCGACGAGTCCGTCGACAAGCTCTGCGCGACGGGCTCATCTCGACGAACGCTGCTCGACTACGAAGGTCGCACATGTGCGCGAACTTCGCCTCAGGAGGATTTCGCCAAGTCAACCTGCGGAACGGCATCACGTGCTCGACGTGCACGGCTGGCAAAACCGTCGACACGTGTTCTACCTGGCCCCTGGGTAATGTGCCTGGCGACGCGACCGTCTATCTGCACCTACTTGGCAGGTGGGCACATGCACAAATGTTTACCTGCCTCCGCGGCGCTGGCAGACCGCTGCGGTGCAACGCTGGCAGAGGTACTCTGCTGCAGCGTAGGCAAGCCGCTCTTCTGCTGCGCTGGCAGGGTTCGCCCTGCAGAGGGCTTGCTATGCGTTGCAATGCCATTCAAGCTATATCGACTTGCATGCCTCACTGTACTCAATGTTCCTTTCAATTTCTAGTGAAACTCTTGCCAACTTTCCTTGTGAACACAACAAGCAGTGAGAAAACTAGTAAAACGCTACGATCACTCGCACCAGGGCCTATGCTAGGATTTAGGACATCCTGAGCCCTCAGGGCAACTCTTGAAAACCCTCCAAAATGCCCTGATTTTTCAGGGCAAAATATTGTGGCCATCCTGAAATTTCAGGGCACCAGCAGGAATTCATCCTGGTCTTTCAGGACAGAAATATTACAAGACACGAGAGTGATGGAGGAGGGGAAGGCACGAGAGGAGCGGGTTGCCTAGTGGTTTCACTACAACTGGCTGCACAAAAACCTCGGGGGGAAACAAAACCAGCACACACTCCCAACACCCACCCCCCCCCCCCTCCCCGCCTCCTTCCTCCCTTCTCCCCCGCCCCCCCTCTCCCCTCCCACCCCTTTCTCCTCTTCCCACAAGTCAGGGCATCCCTCGACATTCATCCTGACGCTTCAGGGCAAACTTTCACGGCCTTACTGAAATTTCAGGGCAAAACACATAGAATTATCCTGACATCACAGGGTAAATTTTAGCAACATCCTGAAATTCCAGGGCAAACTCATAACATCATCCTGAATTCAGGGTAATCAGGGTGTTTTACCCTGATATCAAGGGCCCTGACTCGCACAACCCCGTGCCTTCCTCCGTAGTCTACTCCCGTTGTGTAGTGACTCTCCGCATGTTGGTGTAGGTAAAAAATGTTACAGGTAGGTTTTGGAAGTGGGAGATTGAGTGTCATGTCAAATGAGATGCATCATACACGTCCCACGCCCAGACACATCCATCCATTCTTCTTAATTCCAGCAATTCGTGTGGCTTGCTTTTGCCGCGTCCTCAACTCGCATATGCTTTACCACGTTCTTGATCTATATTGGCAATAACATCCGGCTACCGACTAACGCGTTCTCCACGTTTGCCAAACTCCAACGATATGCCCAGAGTTGCTGCAAGTGTGAATATGTACTTTAGTTTTTTTTTTTTTTTTTTTTTTTTTTTCCATTTTCATGATTGTATTTACAGAAACAGTTACAAACAGATTCATACTTATGCGATTCGATTCGTAACTGTTACCGTCGTCAACATTTGCGCGCACCTCGTTTCAATCCGAGTTTCAATCCGAGCCGCACACACAAGCTGTCACAATCCATACAACTAGCAAACTACATTTCTGATACGTCCTAATCCGAACATCCAACTCCCAACCACTTCCCTTCTCTCTGTCATTCATGCACACATTTGTCGATAGCCTTCGTCGTACACACATTCCTCCACCTGTAGTCCCTCGCTCTCTTCCACGTCGTTGCTGCTAGCGACGCTGCGCTCTTTTCTCCTTCCCTCGTCGACCTCCACGTGGTTTGACGAACCATCCCTCCAACACTTGATGCGCTGCTAGCGACTCTGCGCGATCGGGCGCGGGCGGGTGGCGCGGTTGTGAGTTCCGCCATGTGGAAGGCGGCGGGAGGAGCGCCTCGTTCTCGCGATGGGGGGAATTCCCCCCCCCGCTGCCTTTCGCCAGGGTCCGGGGAGCGCGGAAGCAGATGGCGCAGTCGACGCGGATGGCGGGGAGGTTCCGCGATTTGGGCAGGTGGAACCCGGCGGAGGGCAGGAGGCTAGCGGCGGGGCTTATGGCGCACCGAATGGCGGAAGGATGTACGGCGACGAGGGCTACGGCGCAACTGGCGGAGGGGGGTATGGCGCAGGCGGCGGGTTTCCGCCTGAGGAGATTTACGGACGGGGATACGGGGGAGGGGGAGCTGGCGGGTACGGGGGCGGGGAAGATGGCTGGGGGTACGGCGGAGGGTACGAGGGAAGCTACGGGGGAGGATACGGGGGAAGCATGGAGGTAGGGGGCGGTCATGGCGGAGCAATGGGGGCGGAATGGGGATATGCGGAAGGAATTGGATGGGGGGGGAGGGGGGAAGGGGGAGCTCATGGGGGCATCGCGGGGCACGGTGGGGAAGGCATGGGGGACGCCCTGCGCCGTCGGGGGGATGGGGGGATGGGGCAGGCGCAAGGGGAAGGCGGGGAGGCGGAGGAGAAGGGGAAGAAGGGCGGAGGCTGGTGGCGGTTGTTTGGGGGAAGGAAGGGCGGAACGGGGGAGAAAGGCGGGGACGTGGGGGGAGGCGAACAAGGGAGGTGGGAGGAAGGTGGGGGGGGGGGGGGAGGGGGCGCAGCAGCAATGGGGCGCGGGATATGGGGGCTACCCCTCGGGCATGAGAGGGGGAGAAGGGGGGTGGGGATATGGCATGTATGGAGGAGGGGGGTACGGCACACATGGGGGAGGGGATGGTGTGATGTACGGGGCAGGGGGGTATGGGGGAGCGGGAGATGGGGAACGGGAATATGGGGCAGAGGGGTATAGGGACGGGGGAAATGGGACATGGGGATATGGGGAAGGTGGATATGGGGAAGGTGGATATGGGGAAGGTGGATATGGGGAAGGTGGATATGGGGAAGGTGGATATGGGGAAGGTGGATATGGGGAAGGTGGATATGGGGAAGGTGGATATGGGGAAGGTGGATATGGGGAAGGTGGATATGGGGAAGGTGGATATGGGGAAGGTGGATATGGGGAAGGTGGATATGGGGAAGGTGGATATGGGGAAGGTGGATATGGGGAAGGTGGATATGGGGAAGGTGGATATGGGGAAGGTGGATATGGGGAAGGTGGATATGGGGAAGGTGGATATGGGGAAGGTGGATATGGGGAAGGTGGATATGGGGAAGGTGGATATGGGGAAGGTGGATATGGGGAAGGTGGATATGGGGAAGGTGGATATGGGGAAGGTGGATATGGGGAAGGTGGATATGGGGAAGGTGGATATGGGGAAGGTGGATATGGGGAAGGTGGATATGGGGAAGGTGGATATGGGGAAGGTGGATATGGGGAAGGTGGATATGGGGAAGGTGGATATGGGGAAGGTGGATATGGGGAAGGTGGATATGGGGAAGGTGGATATGGGGAAGGTGGATATGGGGAAGGTGGATATGGGGAAGGTGGATATGGGGAAGGTGGATATGGGGAAGGTGGATATGGGGAAGGTGGATATGGGGAAGGTGGATATGGGGAAGGTGGATATGGGGAAGGTGGATATGGGGAAGGTGGATATGGGGAAGGTGGATATGGGGAAGGTGGATATGGGGAAGGTGGATATGGGGAAGGTGGATATGGGGAAGGTGGATATGGGGAAGGTGGATATGGGGAAGGTGGATATGGGGAAGGTGGATATGGGGAAGGTGGATATGGGGAAGGTGGATATGGGGCAGGGGTGTATGGGGCAGGGAATTACGTCGGCGTTGTGAGGGGAGAGGACGGAATGGGAGCCAACGGGGTGGCAGAGCCGGGTGCTTCTCACGGCCCTGCTGCTGCGGGTACTGGTGGGGGGGCGGAGCAGCCAAGAGGGTCAAGCGCGGGGGATGCAGGAGAGGGAGATGGAGGCGCAGCAGTGGCCGGGCAGGAGAGGGAGGACAGTGTGGGCAGCAGAGGGGCGCTGGCAGGGACGGCGAGAGCAGGGGCGGAGACACAGGCGGCGAGGGCGGTAGGGGTGGCAGGGGTGGCAGGGGTGGCAGGGGTGGCAGGGGCAGGTGTGGCAGTGGAGGGCGTGATGACGACGGGGCTGACGACAGCGGGGTTCAAGGTGCGGCGGGGGGGGCGGCCTGTGGTGCATGGCAGGGCGTCGGGGTACGATGAGGACGAGGCTTGGAGCCCTGGAGGCGACCGCAGTGGGGCGCCGGGGTGGGGAGTTGAGGAGAGAACGAGTGTTAAGGGAGGGAGTGGGGGGAGTGTGGAAGGGGGGGAAGGAGGGAGTGAGGAAGGGGACGGAGGGGACGGAGGGAGTGGGGAATCGGAGGAAGCCGGGAGTGTGGGTTCAGCAGAAGGGGAGGATGAGGAGGGCAGCAAAGGGGAGGAGGGAAGCAGAGGGGGCAGCGATGGTGCATCAGAGGGGGAGGCGAGGGAGGGCGAGAGGGCAGGGGAGTCTCGGCAGGAGTGGGGGTCTGAAGCCTCGCCAGGGGCGTGGGGGCAGTACCCCTCTCCCGCGCCTCACCACTACGCACGGCCCCACCCGGCCTTCCTGCACTCCCAGCACCCCTGGGAGCACCAACGCCCCAACGATCCCTGGCAGGCGCATGGGGGGCAGGCACAAGGAGGGCAGGCGCATGGGGGGCAGGCACAAGGAGGGCAGGCGCATGGCAGCCACCCCTCGCCTGCAGCGCACGGCTCGCACACACATGACCCCTGGCAACAGCACGGCGCGCACTCACATGCCGCCCAGGGGGCTTACCCTGCCGCACACCGCCCCCTCCCTTCCGGCGCTGCTGCTGCCACCGCTGTTGCCCCCGCCTCTGCGTCGCACAGCCCCCTCACAGGCAGTCCCGCGCCGCCCCCTCACGCTCTGCCGCCCCCTCAAGGCGCCGCGACAGGGGCATGGGGAGGAGCAGGGGTTGGGGCATGGGGAGGGGGATGGGGAGGAGCAGGGGGGTGGGGTTGGGGAGGGGCAGGAGGGGATTTGCTGGGAGGCGTGCATGCGCTGAGAGGAGCGCCGGGGGGAGGCAGGGGAGGGGCTCCTGGCAGCAGAGGGTTGCGGCGGGGGAGACAGGCTGGAGGGGGGAACGAGAAGGATTCAGGCAGCGACAGAGGGGAGGGAGAGGGCAGAGGCGGAGCAGGGGAGAGGAAGGGCAGGGGCAGCCGGGCGTGCTCTCCGGAGTTAGGAGGCGCAGAGGGGAGGAGGCGGCGGGTGGGCAAGGCAGGGTGGTGGGCGGTGCAGTGGCAGCTGTGGCGGCTGCAGCCGCGGCGCTCCCTGCTGCTGCAGGGCGGCCTGGCAGCGCTGGCGCTGCTGCTGCTCGCTGCCTCACTCGCCTCCCTTGGTGCCGTGTGGGTGGGGGAAGCGGATGGTGGGGGAGATGGGAAGGGGAGAGAGGGCGAGGGGGGAGCGAGGCCGGGCGAGGGGAGGGCGTGGGGAGGGGATGGGAGAAGGGAACAAGGGGCAGGGTTGACGCCAGGGAGACGCAGGTGGGGAAGAGGGAGGGGCGAGAGCGGAAAGGGACTGCCTTGGGTGGCACTGGGGGGTGCTGGGGGAGCGAGTGCGGTGGGGCGGCGAGGCACGGACGTGTATGAAGCGAGCAGTGAGGGCGAGCGGATGGGCGAGTGGGACGAGCAGGTGGGGCTGGAGGTGGACGTGGGCACGGCGGCACCGCTCCTGCACGGAGATAGTCTGTGAGTCACACTGACACAGCAACGGTTGTGGTCCAGTGCAATTGTCACATGGGATGAAATTAGCTGCTGCACACCGCCCCAGGAGTCTAAACTACGTAGAAAGTACGGGTTTTTTTGTCACAGTGCTGTACTCGTGCTTCCCTTACCTCAGCTCGTGCTCTTCAGCTCTGCCTTTACCCCAAATGCTGCTCTAGTCCGTTCGCTCCTGCAAGGGTGCTCACATGTGCTCACATGTGCTCAGATGAACCCACTGCCCATCTCGCATCCGCTGTGCCTCTCACGCATCGTTCCCACCTGCCCGATTCCGCCTCGTGCCTGCCACCTTCCCCTCGCGCCCAAACCTCCTGCACACCAGCACGGGCGGGGGAGAGGTTAGCGTGCAGGGCGGGTCAACATCAGGAGCGGGGCCGCAGTGGTACGTGGCGGTGCAGCTCGCCCACGCCATGCAGACGTGGCCTCGCCTCGACTTCTCCCTCTCCCACGCCTTCCAGGTGTTCCCTCATGTCTCCCAGGTGCTCCCTTGTGCCGTTCAGGTGCGCTTTCATGATGCCTTTCAGCCGCCCTTTTATGCCTTGCATGTGCCCTCTCATGCTTATCAGGTGAATCCACGTGTTAGTGAATCTCTGGTTCCGCGTGACTTATTTCTGCGTGACCTACTTCTGCGTGACCTAGTCATTCCAAGCCCCTTGCACTTTGCGCTTGCACCGCTTGCACCATTCCACACCCCTCACCACTCGCCGCTCACCCGCCACCTCGTTTTTTCCCCTTCCCTCCGCTCCCCACCCTCCCCTGCACCCCCTCTCACGGTGCCGGCAGTGGCTGGAGTTCGCGCGCTACAGCGGCATGGCGCACGTGTTTTGGTACGACATGGTGGACGACCCGCGGGACCGCATGGTGAGCTGTAGACATGGCATAGGGAGTAGTGGGGAGGGTGGGGAGAGCAGTGTGAGTGTTGGTGAAGGTGGGGAGAGCAGTGTGAGTGGTGGGGAGGGAGGGATGAAGAGTATGCATGTTGAGAAGGCCATGTCCACCATTCGCGGCCCCCGTCCCTCACTAACCGAGACCTCCCACCCCTGTGTGCTTTTCCTCCACACTTGTTTCATCATGAAACATGATTTCTGCAGCTTTTTTCTCCTGTGTCGTCATACTCTCACACTTCCCAGGACACTCAACGTGCCCGCCTCCTTTCCCGGCGCCCCTCCTTCCCACCGCACCTCTCGCAACCCCACCCTTTCCAAACCCCAACCCTCCTTCACCGCTACCCCTCGCACCCCTCTCACCTCTCTCTCCCCCCCCACCCCACCCACCCCGCTCACCCCACTCACTGCGCGTGGCAGGAGGCGGCGTTGGAGGGGTACAAGCAGGACGGCTTCATCACGTACCACCACTTCCCCTCGCTCGCGCCTTCCCTGCCCGCCAACCACGGGGCCACCCCCCGCGACCAGGTGCCCCCCCCCCCCCCCCTGCACTGCAGGCATGTGCCGCTCACCCTCCTCACTATGGGGGTTTCCCTGTGCTCCACTGTTTCCTCCTCCCCGTGTCATGCCTGCCTCCCGTGGTGGTTGTGGTGCTCCACAACCACCACTGCCACGCCTTGCTCTCTTTCTGCCACTCTTCCTGCTGCACCCGTCTTCCCTCCCCATCCCTCTCCACTCCTCTCCCCTCCCTTCCCGACCGTCCTCCTGCCCATTGTAGTCCCTCCTCTCCGCTCACACCTGGCACATGAGTCACGCTTTCAGAGCACAGAAGCAGAGTGTGCCTCATGACCACACACAGTATTAGGCCACGCCTCCCTGTCCTCTCGGTATTTCCTCCCCTCATTCATCCCTGCACCACTGCACGCCCCATCTATCTGCCTGCCTCCACTGCACCACTTGCTTGCAAACGCGCCTTCCACATCCCTCCCCCCCACCCCTTCCTCACCATCGCTGCCAGGCGCTGCACCACTGCCTCACGCATCGCAGCACCTTCACTGTGTACCCGTTGCCACTCACCCCAGCACACCGCTCCAAAATGGCGAGGCACCTCAATGCGCGTTATCCCGCTTCCCCCACCCCTCTCCCCCCACCCCTCTCCCCCCACCCCTCTCCCCTCGCCATCTCCTCCATCCCCACCAGGCGCTGCACCACTGCCTAACGCACCACGGCAGCTCAGCTGTCTGGCTGCTGCCACTCACCCCAGTGGACTACCTCTCCGTGCCGCCCGACATCAAGCCGGGCTTCGCCGACCGCTTCCTGCGTGCCTATGAGGCCCGCCGCCCCTCTGTGTCCCAGCTGCTGCTGCAGACCTTTCTCTTCCTCGGCTCCCCCCAGGTGCCTACCCAGGTGTCTCCCAAGGTGTCTCCCCAGGTGTCTCCCCAGGTGTCTCCCCAGGTGTCTCCCCAGGTGCCTCCCCAGGTGCCTCCCAGGTGCCACCTCAGACCTCTGCCTCTGCTGCTCCTCTCTGCTCTCCTCCGGGCAACTCTCTTCATCTCTCCCCTTCCTTTCTGTCCCTCTCACATACCCTTCGCTCCCTCCTCCTCCCACCTCCTTGAATACATCCAAGGCGTGCCATCCTCCCCTCCTCTGCCAACTTCCCCCCTGCCTCCCCTCTCATGTGCCGCCTCCCTTGCTTCTCCATGCACGAGATTGTCTAGCTGTAATCCGGTCCCGCTACTCCATCATGCCCAGATGCACATCCCTGTTCTCCCACATCGGCCTTCCAATCCCCCCATTTCTCGCACCTTTCTTCATCCCCCCACCCCTGCATTCTCTCCCCCAGCACCCCATCTACCCCAAAACCCCCTTCCATCATCCGCCACCCTGCCATCTCCCCCCCATTTCCTTATCCTCCCCCAATCCTCCCCCATCCGCGGCCCCCACCCCACCCAACCCCTCAGAACGCCTCTGCTCTCCTCATCCAGCGCTACCAGCGCCGCACCAACCACTCCGACGGCGTGTCCCTCAATCCTCAGGCTCGGGTCGTGCCTGTGGTTCGGCTGAACCTGGTGGCTCGGGTGCTATGGCGCAACCCGAGCCACCTGCTCATGACAGGTGGCAGCACCATGGCACTGCCAGCTGGCGCCATGCGGATGAACCGATTCGCGAGTGCGCTGCAGCAGATGCCAGGCACAGGTGAGAGGGGATGGGTGGTGTGGGTGCATGTGCAGGTAATGACTGAAGCATGGATGAGGATGTGCGGGTGGACAAGAAGCAAGGAGAGCAGGCGGTGGAGGAGAGGGGGGGGACGGAGATGGGCAGTGGCTAGCTTGGGTGTGAAGGAATGCAAGGGATGGTGCTGTTATGATTGGGTGGAAAGCATGTGATAGAGGATGTTAGCGATGAGGCTGGCACGTCTGGGTGGGAACAGTGGTGGGGAGCAGTGGAAGGGGCAAAAGTTACGACACTGGTACCAGTGCCGCTGCATGCTTTCCTAGCCCTTACGTACGGTCCTTCCAGTTCAGATGGCATTCTGGATCCTCTCATATCCCCTCCCACACTTCCCCCCTTCTTGGACTCTTTCTGATTGCACCTTCTCTACGTTATTTAAGTCATTCTTGCCCTCTCTCCTCCTTTATGCCGTACTGTCGTGCTGCCATTCTGTCATGCTGCCGTGCTGCCATGCAGCCACAGCAGGCACAGAGCGTGGGACGGACATAGTTCTCGACACCTCACTGCAGCCGCTGGTGCCGGAGCTGGCGATGATGCTGGAGAGGAGCCGGCAGGCAGGCAGAATCAAACTCCCCGGTGCCACGGCACATGGCACTCTAGGTGGCTTCAACTGGTTCAGAAGTTGAGTGAACGGTCACGCAGATTGGCATAAGAATACGGATAGGATGTGTATAGCATGATCAATATGCATGGTGTAAGCTATTCAACGTGGAATGGAATTGAATCACCATCCAGTTCATGCAAAAAACGAGCTCCATATCCCTTTCTGTGTTTTACCGCAGGCCCTGCTGATTAGGGCCCTGTCGTTCGGGATCTACTCAGAATTCCCGAAACCGGCGAGGGATCGAATGAACAGGTTTAGGGCCCAGTCCCAAGTGAAAAAATCGGCGAGGAGGGAAGGAAGGCGGGTATAGGGCAGGGTGGCCTCTGGTTAGCAGGGTAAAATACCCTTATGGCCCTTACTACCGGTACCGTCATCTCCCGGATAGAAGATAGTGTTAAATTGCAGACATGGGTGTCTTTATAAACAGAAGTTCCTTCCATAAGGTACCATTTTATTGTCAAATACTATATATGCATGTTAGTTTGTTAAGATACAGTGAGGTGCTCTTTAGAGAGTACAACCCATTTAGGGTTGGCTGTTTGTATCTCTTCCTTGCTAGCCATTCTCATTCCGCTGTTCATACTTTGACATGGTATCATGGTAGGTTCTTTCCAAGACCTAGCATACCTACCTCCCTAGCTAGTTCCTAGAGCCAGCCAGCCAGCCAGCCAGCAGCCAACCAGCCAGCCAGCCGTTAGCGAGCCGCCAGCCTGCTAGTGCGCCGCCAGCGAAGCACGTAGCCCGCAAGCCCCACGCGCCAGCAGCGCGCACTGCCAGCACGCGCCCCGCCAGCGCAACCCGCATGCCAGCAGCGCACGCCACCAGCGCGGGCCCCGCCAGCTTAGCACACGCCCCGCTAGTGCGCGACCCGCCAGCCAGCCGCACGTGCTAGTAGCACGCGCCACCTGCCCGCGCCCCGCCAGCCAGCATGCGCGCACTGCTAGCGCACGTCCTGCCAGCCAACCCGCGCCCCACTAGCGCACGCCCCACTTGCACCCAACCAGCCACCTCACGCCCTGCCAGCAGCGCGCTCCGCTCGTCTGCTAGCCGCCACATCCTGCGCCAGTGCCTGCCTCACGCAACATTCCCTCCGCTAGCGGCACGCTAAGCAGCGGCTGGAAGCCGCACGATCTTTTCGTTGGTGTCGTCTAGGGTTTCGAGTGAGTTCCTAGCTAGCAGTTCCTAGCCTGAGTTTCGGGATCGTTTTGTATATGAGTCACATGCAGCATCAGGAGGTCCTCATCCTGATGCAGCGCATCAACCAGTGATCGCTGTGTTTCAATTGTGTTTACTGTGCAGAAACCTATTAAAAAATATAAGCGTATATTTTTTTTCGCGGTAACCGTCAATTTACATGTTGATCCGTGTCTGCCCTTAGCTTGGGATGATGCTATCATCACAAAGGCGAATAGGGCAAGACAGTCCTTCAAGGAAGATTGTGCGTGATGTGACCCAGAGAGAAACAGTTGCACACGTATCAATAAGGACATTTGCATTTTCATCGTTAACTCTACTAGCAAGCAACAAATTTTGTTGATGCTTTGGGCAAATGAGACATGCCACAATATTCGTCGAAGGTTTGAAATACACTTTGACATTGTGACAAGCGAGTCCATGTGACAGAAAGTTGGTCCACCACAGATGGTGTCCCTTGTTACACGCCGCCAGGACTGGCCGTCCACGAAGCGCATGGATTTTTTCGCTTTTCATAGTACGAGTCACCAACGCGACCGAAGTCAGAGGGTGCTCTTCAGTGCAACGGCCCACAATCTCAATGACAGAAGGCAAAATGTCCAATCCACATAGAATATTTGAGAATTGATAATGCAGTGCTTCAATGGAAAAATTCTCAAGTGGATACGATCGAGGAGAAAAGAACAAAGTTTCTATTAAAAGAAGCGGTAAACAAACAAGAGATTTTGCAATCTTCATCATATAGCACATACGCCCCATCCACTCAATCTACTTTCCAACTAGGTACCCACACACTAGTTGGGATTTTGAAAACCCTTCTTACCCGAACGTCCAGCGGTGCCTGAGTCAGGCCCTTAGCCCCAACCTTCCACAACCGTAACACAACGTGTTGGAGAGGTCCTGGTTGTTAGAAGCACGCCCTCCCTCTCTACCAGCCCTCTTGGCTTGCGACCCGGGCTAGTGCTCACGCTGATGGGGCCTTTTGTTCCAACCGCCTCCACCCTTGGGATTCTGGGATCAGATTCTACGATCGCTAGAGCCTTCATCACTAGGCTACTGGACTAGCTCCTCAGGACCATTTAGGTAAGTGCGAATGGTGGTATCGGTGGCGGTCACTTGCTCCTTGAGCTCTTTATATGTCCTCCACCTGGTCATGCCAGCGGTCATCTGCACATGTTGCAGCTTGACAGGAAGGCCTTTGATAACGATGTGCTTCATCTGATCCTTAGACAAGGGCTTTTCGAGCATGTGAAGAAGGAATGTTGCATTGAGTAGGGTTGTGAGTACAAGTAGGAAACCCTAAGGGGTTGTACTCACTAGAGTATGCCCCACTATAGCCTAGAGAATACAAACATAGTTTGACACACCCCCATAGGCAAAGTGGTGGATAGCAAACACAACGGACGGTCACAAGACCATTCAAGCAAGAGAACAAAGCTAAGCAAAGCTCAGGGTGGATCTCAAGATCACCACACATTCTGAGCACAAGCAAGCGGTAACAAGGCCAGTTCACATGCAGAGTTTATAAAAGCAATTGCAGTACACTGATCACAACCTAGCAAGAGCAAACATGCAGGTATAATCATATATATCAGAGTACAACAAGTGCAAGGCAAGATGAAGAGACAAGCAGGTGAGGCAGAGTGGGCACAAGCCCAAGAGCAGTGCAGAAACGCTGATGATCACTAGACCTAAGGGCCTTGGTGAAGACATCAGCAGTGTTGGCCTGTGTGGCCACGTAAGCAAGACGAAGTTGACCACGCTACTGCAGCTCTCGCGTGAGAAAGTAACGGAGAGCAATATGCTTCGTTCTGTGCTCCAGTCTCTGGTCCTGACACAAGGCAATCATGGCCTTGTTGTCGACGTACAGAACTGGAGGAGAACGAGGCCGCTCACCCAAGTCGGTCAGCGGGTAGGTCAGCCCGCGGAGCTCCTGTGCAGCCATAGCCCCAGCGTAGATCTCGGCCTCACAGCTGGAACTAAGTACAGAAGAAGAGCGAGTGGACCTCCACGAGACAGAACCAGTGCCGAGGCTGAAACTGTACCCCTGTGTCGACCGGTGAGTCGTTTGGTCGTCAGCCCAAGAAGCGTCTGAGTGACCGGTGAGAACAACTGAACCCCGTCCTCCAAGCACGAGCCCCATGCCCGATGTACTGCACAAGTAACGCAATACCCTCTTCGCAGCTTCCCAGTGCACCTTTCGGTGTCTACCGGGAGCCACGTAGCGAGCCAGGAGGCTGAGAGGGTACGCGAGGTCAGGTCGTGTGCACGTCATCAGGTACATGAGGCAACCCACAAGCTCAGGGTACGGACCACTCGGCTCTACGGACTCGTCCGAAGGTGGAGCTGCGAGCGAGTGGCCGGTAGACAGAGGAGTGGGCTGTGGCGAAGCGCTGAAGGACCTACTGCACCATGTGTGACTGGGTGAGGGTGATGGTGCGGCGTGCTCTGTCCCGGGTGATCTGCAAGCCAAGATAGCTCCGCAGCTCACCCAGGTCAGTGCAGGTGTGTCTCTCCTGCAGCTCCGCCTTCACCAAGGCCAGAGCCTCAGTGTCAGCAGTAGCAAAAACCAGGTCGTCAACGTACACGAGAACGTAGAACGGCGGCAGAGAAGTGTCTGTGCGCAGAAACAGCGAAGGGTCAGCAGTCGAAGGAGCGAAGCCAAGAGCCGCAAGTGTAGTCCTCAGTGTGTCGTGCCACTCACGGGGCGCCTGTCGTAGGCCGTAGACTGGTCGCCGAAGACTCCACTGGGTACCCTAAGGAAACGACCCAGTGAAGCCACGTGGGCGGCGCAACCAGATAGCCTCGTGAAGGCTGCCCTGCAGGAAGGCTGTCGAGAAGTCGAGGGAGTGCAACTCGTAGTCGCGCTGTGCTGCAACGTGCAGTAGCACCCGAAGAGTAGTCATCTTCGGGGTGGGGGAGAAGGTCTGGAAGAAGTCGACCCCCTCACGCTGACTGAAGCGTCGTGCAACGTAACGCGCCTTGAAGGCAGGCGGAGAACCCGTCGGCCGCTTCACCCTGAAAATCCACATGCCATCGACAATGTTCGCCCCAGGTGGGGGAACCTCGTCGACGTAGGTGCCTGTGGACTTCCAGGAAGCCATCTCTGCGTCCATGGCTATCTGCCACTGAGAGGAGTACGGACCCGTGATCGCCTCTGCGTAAATGTGCGGGGTCGGGATGTCCAGTACATCCGGGTCTCCCTCAGGGCAAAGCAGCGTGGACGCGAGATGAGGTGCAGCGGCCGCTAGGCACTCCAGCTCAAACTGCCTGTCCTCAAGAACGTCACAGCCAAGGGCAAGCTCACCCCCGATGGACGGAGGACAGGAAGAGTCAAAAACAAGACTCGCAGCGTAGTCAAGGTGGCACAAAGGAGCAAAGTCAACAAGCTCAGCAACTAAGGCAGACGCAGCAGCAGACTCAAAGGAAGGGTCAGTCACAACCGTGGCAAGGAGACGAGTGACAGTCGGACTGGCAGTACGGACAAGGTCAGACTCAGGGTCAGGGACGTGAGGAAGAGAAGACACAGGAGGAGACGGCAGGACAACACGCTGTGGAACAGAGGAAGGACGAAGTGCCATACGGTGAGTGCCTGGCACAGCTGGAGCACGAGGACGGGCAACACGACGACCGCGAACAGGTGTGGAAGCACGAGTCTCAGGCTCACGACGCTCAGTCAGGGACTCAGTCACCTCCGAGGAGCAGGCGCAGGCAGTGGGGAGCCAGTAGCTGTGGCTGAGACTGGTCAGTCGGTGGGAACAGCAACGGAGGAGTAGTACCAGCAACCGGGAACTCAGTAGCAGCAGGCGGGAGACTGAGAAGGTGACG